CTGGGAGCATCGTAAGTGTTTGCACTTGGATAATTGCTAGGACTGTTGTAGCTTCCTGGACTGTTGTAGCTTCCTGGACCATATCCAGTGTTTCCTCTTCCATAGCTGTCACCTCCACCGGGTCCATAGTTACCAAATCCACCACCAGGTGCATAACTATTTTGACCATCACCGTAATTATTATAGCTGGGGCGAGGCCTTTCAGTAGCATAATTCACCCTTACTCGTCGGCCATGAAGCTCCTACAGGATTTTCAGACAAAATTTTACAGTTGCAAAGGTATATGAATAACAGTTAATATTTCATAAGACTACTATACTAATGCAATTTCATGTTACAAACACGTTTTGTCTTATTTTAATGTTTCAAAATTGAATGTATTGTTTCACCTGCTAGTATCTAAATTTTAAATCCCAGACATTGATTCAGTACTCAAAACTACTCGTCAACGTATATAATAAACAAACGATTTCAATAAACAACTATTAACCAATAACATTTAACAAAAATAAGAAAGAACGTAACAACGAATAACTACCTGCCCATCCAAGGCCTCGAGAGCACTAGCTGCCTCCTCATTAGAAGTGAAAGTCACGAATCCAAATCCTCTTGATCTACCACTTTCACGGTCCATGATGATTCTTGCTGCAAGATTTATCAGGTCAATCAGCATCCGACATTCTTTCAAACTTTACAAAACGTGTATGGATACTAAAATGTGAGAATCATCATCAGAGAATGCAAATGGAATGACGGAGAGACATGACGCAACAACAGAAGTTCACAATAAAGAAAAACAAAGGGATCACAAAAGAAGTGAAGCCGGCATCCACACTTCACCAAGTCTTAAGCATTCGACAGTCATCTGACCCACTTGACAATCCTGTTAAATGAAAAGCCACTGGAAGTCCAAGTACTAATTACATACCGTCTACAACTTCACCGTATTTTTGAAAAGCCTCCCTCAGACTCTGGTCATCTGTCTGGTACGAAACACCTGCATTATAAAAGCAGAGGGCATCTTAACACAAAATCAGGCAACATGAGAAGAGGGATATCATATTTGGAAATATTGAAGAATTCTGCAATCACCTCCGATGAAGAGCTTTGAGCTTCCCATGGATGACATGCATCTTATAGCTTGATGGATGGACAGTTTGAAAGGAGATACTTCAGACCTGATCTGCTTGTTTGCAGTCTGCCTAAGTATGCTCCCAATTTTACTTAAGAAAGCCATCGTAATCACCTAAAAGAAAGCACAAGCCAACAAGCTTCAATAAACAAATCTCTATCGTAACACAGCAATCATTCTGTTTAACACCAGTACCGAAAAGTGGCAGAACACTAAACATGTTAACACAAATGTCGTGATTAAATAATACATAACAAAAGACAGATTAATTAGATACCCTCACAACGATATCGAAAATAATTTCTTCATCTACTACTACTGAAACAAAACAAACCCAATAAGAACAGCAGTTCCGCACTTCAAAAGGGTTACAAAATCACAAAAAATAAATTAAATTTTCCTTGGTTCTTAAGAAAGTGCAGGGAAATGATTCAAATGAAGTTGACTTCAAAAAACCCATTTCGAAGAATCTACAAAACCAAACGAAAAATCTAAAGCAGAACACTTTATTTCCACTCGATATTCAATAAATCGAAAAACTACACCCCAAAAATTTCCCACTGCAAACACAAATAAGTTCAGCCGTTCCGCAGCATCCATGAACTCCACAAATCAAAACTTCACTTTTAAAACCCTAGAAACTACAATCACACAGAGGCAGATAAATCCACATACGGATCGTATACAAAACCCCCACATGCAAATATCAAAAACCCCAAATCCCTTCGAAAAATTCAACAAAAACCCGAATCGAAAAGCAATGAGAAAGGGAAACAGAAACCAAATCAAACGAAGATATCGAAATCATCAGAAGCATAACAACAACATACGTAAGATCGGAGCGAAGGGTCGCCGGAGATTTACCTTGTCCGATTCTCACTCCGTCACTCTGCTCTCAGGGGACCGACTAAAACCCTAAGGTTTTTGATTTCGAATAGGGTTTATGTGGAATATGGGAGGAGTCGGATATATGGAGAGCTCTGGGAGATCTGATCCGTCGAGTTTGGGGCCGAATTAACAGCCGTTGGATTAGAGGCATGACGTAGATGGTTTGTGGATATTTACTGGGCGGTACTTCCTCCACGTGGGACGTTTATATTGGGTTGTTATATGGTTTCTGGGACGGCCAGGCAAGCTATCTTGAGAGACTATCCTTCCGAGATCCTCAAATCATATTCGTTCATCTTACATTGTGCGACTAGTTTTAATCAGATTCTGTTTATATTCAATTTTAAATAATAAAAAATCACAATGATTTTTTACCGTACAATGTACGATAAACGGATGTGATTTGAGGATCTCGAGATCCTTACAAAGGGAGCCGGATCCCCTCTGGACCAAAAGGAACTGAGCTCAAGGATCAAATGATCAGGGAAATTGAAATTTGATCCAACAATTATAATTATTATAACTTTTAGAGGGTCTTCTGTGTATAACCTTAAATCAAATTTTAATAGCTCGAATCATTTGATAAGTTATATCAATTTCTTTGAGTCCCAAAAAAATCCGATTCTCTCACAAAAAAAAATCCGACGAGATTCCTCCCTCAGCTATCTTTTAAAGAACCTCAAAATATCTGTTTATATGTGGACGAAGCCCAAATTAACCACAGCCCGTTTATTTTTTATATGTTTTTATATGTCAAAGTACAATTGTAACACGCAGAGGGCCACGTAATTATTTTGACGACTTTTATATCAATTTTAATGTGATACACGAGTTAAGTTTCAAAATAATCAAAAAAAAATTAAAAGATTAAGTAGGTTTTAAATGTAATTTAGCATATGAGGTAATCATATTTTTAAGTACTTTAGTGTTTGACTTTGTATTGTTAAATTTTTTTTTTTTTAACCTTTTCACTCATTTGCATTTTAATGTTTTTGCGAGACACGTGATCAAACAGGCCTCCTTTTATCTTTTAAAATTGACGTAAAATTCTCATTCTAATATTTGCCAATAAAATCAAGTAATCACAAGAAAATTGGTAAAATATTAATGTCATCGTTTGAAAAAAGGTCGCACTATTCATACGTTTATGTTTATTCTCGTACCTACAAAATTGATGGGCAAAAATTAACAATAGTGTATATGAAGTAAAAAAACGGTGATAGTACTTCCTTTTTAAAAATGATTAATTCATTCGATTCGACGATCAAAAATAAAAAAAGTGTATGAAAAATTAAAATAAATGTGTGGATATCGTATTCTTTAAAATAATAATAATAATAATAAAGGTCAAAGAGATGTGCGGCTAAGATTATTTCCCCAACGCCATCGGCCAGTCCAAGCAGTTCTTTCACCAAAACACCTGCGAAACATTTCTCAGCCTCGACCAAATCTCAAATCCAAAATCCCAAAATCCGCCCCAAGATCCGAAATTGATCCGATTGTCGAACACCCAATGGCCCAAAACCCAAGACCCACCACAGTTCTCGAATCCCTGGGCGAAGAACTGATCAGAATCATCACTCCGGTCTCCGTCTGTATGCTGCTGGTGGTCCTTCTGGTCACTGTCCTCACCGACGACGCTTCATCCTCGTCGGAGAGGGTGACGTCAATCGCCACCATTGCGTACGACGAGACCGCCTCGGACTCCTCCTGGGACAAATTCGTAGGTGCCCTCTTAAACTCCCTCGTTTTTGTCGCCGTCGTCACTGCCGTCACATTCGTTTTGGTGCTCCTTTTTTACCTCAGATGCACCAGGTTCCTCAAAATCTACATGGGTTTTTCGTCTTTTGTTGTTCTGGGATTCATGGGCGGAGAAATCGCCCTGTTTCTGATTCAGGACTTTAATGTTCCGGTCGATTCGATTACGTTTGTTTTGGTGTTGTTCAATTTTGCTGTTGTTGGGGTTTTGGCGGTGTTCATGTCGAAAATGGCGATTTTCGTGACGCAGGGGTATTTGGTTGTGATTGGAATGCTGGTTGCTTATTGGTTTACGTTGTTGCCTGAGTGGACAACTTGGGTGCTGTTGGTTGCCATGGCATTGTATGATCTTGCCGCGGTTTTGTTGCCGGTCGGGCCGTTGAGGTTATTGGTGGAGCTGGCAATCTCTAGGGATGAGGAGATTCCGGCTCTCGTTTACGAGGCCAGGCCCGTGACTCCTCATGATTCTCAGGGTCCTGTGGGTGAGAGGAGGGTTTGGAGAGATAGGAGAAATGAGAATTCGAGTATTGGGAATGAGAATCCGAATTCAAATTCGAATCTTGGTGAGTTCGGCAATGTTGATAATGATTCGAGTTTGGTTAGAGCCGAAGAGGGGCGGATTCCAGAGAGGGATCAAGAGCTATCTGCACCATTACTCGAGCGTGTAGCGAATGTTCCGCCTTGCAGGCAGGAAGATGTTGCGGCGAGTGAAAGTTTGCTGCTTGAGGGCATCGGATTGGGGTCCTCCGGTTCAATCAAGCTGGGATTGGGAGACTTCATCTTCTACAGTGTTTTAGTCGGGAGGGCGGCAATGTATGATTTTATGACGGTGTATGCGTGTTATCTTGCCATCATAGGTGGCCTTGGAGTGACTCTGATACTGTTAGCTGTGTATCAGAAAGCTTTGCCAGCTCTTCCCGTGTCAATAATGCTCGGCGTACTGTTTTATGTATTGACACGGCTCTTACTCGAAGTTTTCGTTGTACAATGTTCTTTGAACCTCATCATGTTCTAGAAGTGGAAGTTTTATAGCCAAAGATTGATAGGCAGCTGCAGAAAGTATATGAAGCATCGGAGCATACTGCGTGACACCGATGATTTCTCGTTGCAACCGGTATATTTCTTTTCTGTGAACTGGTTGCACGTCTGGAATCTATATTGTTTCGTAAAGTTCATTTCAAATAGGGTTAGATTGTGATTTTGAAGATCCATTGGAGTCCAACATCTGCAAAGTTGGGAGAAGGGAGGATGCCGTATGGATCGGAGCCTTGAAGGAAGCCGGAAGGCCTACATTTGTTTGTACCAGTAAAATCAAATCTTTGATTGTTTGTTTCAGCTGGATTCAGTTGCATATCGAAAGGTATTGCATTCTCCACGTCCCCTGTATCAATGTTTATGTTGATATTAATCTCGAGCATTCTTGTGTATATATGAAATTTTCATTCCAAATAGGCTTAATGCTTCGTATGAACACATCAAATTCAAGTCCTCACACGAGAACTTATCAGTGGGTCACCCATTCTGGGGATGCTCTGGTCCTTTTCTCACATAACTTCAGAGTTCCTACGGAACCCGAAGCCAGTGAGCTCCCAAAAGGTTTCGTCCTAGGTGTGTAAGAATATACATATAAGGCTTACAAGTTACAAGCATTATACCTAGCACATAATAAACAAAATAAACCCTAAATTGAATTTGTACTCGTATTAAAATGACCACGCACATTACTCTTTTGAGGACAAGAACATAGCCAGAACAGAGTTTGATCGTTCAGAACATCATCGGAATGACCAACATTAACATTAAGAAGTTTGTGTCACGGCGAAAGTTCCGTGAAAAGTAGGTTTTATGATTGTTTTTGTATGACTTTGAAAAACCGACTAAAAACCGTGAGTATTTTTTTCGAATTGTTTTTGTGAAGCACCCGATTGTCGGATTTTGCCAAAACCTTTTTCTTGCGGGAAAATAGTTTGCGCTATTGGGAAGTGGTCTTACTATTTATCTTTCCGCATAAGCATTGTTTAGTGAATTTTTGGACTAAAAAACATAAAAATCAACTTTAGGGCGACCGTTACACTCAAAATATTTCCCTATACGACGTCGTTAAAGGGGATATAGTTGTGTCTACTTGTCCTAACTCCGACGAGGATGAAAAGGCTTAACCCACTCCCTTTCCCCTTAGTGTGGATAATATTTTTTGTTATAAAAAATAAAAAACTCCGACGAGGACGAAAAGGGAAAATACAGCCTTGGATTGCAAGAAATTAGTAAAGATGAGGACGCGCAATGGAAAGTAGAGAGAGAAAGAAACCCCTACGTCTAAGCAGGGCCTTGTAATTTTCATCTGGTTTCTTTCTCATCCCCTCTGTCCATTTCATTTTTCGGTTTTGTTTTTTCGTTTTTTGATTTTGTTATTTTCTCGAATTTTCAGTCTTACCCCCCGTTACTCATAGGTTGCCGTCGACGCGAAACTGAGGCGGCAGATTTTCAGGCCGGTAAGGAATCATCATCGATTTTCCGAAGGGCGGAAGGTTGGCAGTGTCTCTGAGGGCACGTTCATTGGCATTTGGTTTTGTATGTAAGTTTGGTTATTTCTAATGTGTGTGTTTCTCATTTGATATTATGAGTCTTGTTATACAATCCCAAATATTCAAATTTCATGAACGACAATTGTTGAGATCTTTCCTTTAATCATGTTGAGCATACAATTGGAATTTTCAATTCGGAACACGTGTATGAATTTATTTGAATCTTAGGGGGCAACTATCTTAGAATGCATTGTGATTTATGTTTCATATCGAATCAATGAATTCAAGGTTTTATGTCCGTAACAAAAGAACGAAAACTAAAATCAAAATGGTTATTAGGCGAGCTTGCCTTTTTCGCACAATTTGAGTGGCAAATATCATGAAGAAGCTCTTCATGATCATTCATTCCATATGAAATTCAGTCCCCTTAACTTTCGATTAGGTTCTTTGAGATTTTTAACGTATAACAGCTGATTGGTAACCTTATGTTTCTGTTTCGTTTTTGGATTCACAGGAATCCGATGGTTTTGGACTGCCGGAGGCAGAACCAAGACAATTTTTAGTTATGGAATCTGCAGATGATAGAACAAGGTTAAGCCCTGTAGCTACAACTCCATGTGAAGTTGATACCGCGGCCAAAGGATTAGGCAGCGGATCAGGCGGATTAGGCTTGTCCGATCAGTTGAATGAGTTGAGGACGGATCCAATTACCGCTCTAGGAGAAGCTAATATTTCTACTGTAGGAGAAAGTTTAAGTAACTCTCAGGTATCTGATTGTAATGAAGCCTTTGAATTGGGTGCAAATGCAACCAGTGCCGAGGATTTTGCTGCCTGCGCGGCCACAGATGCTTCGCAGAATGTGCAACCTAGTGATAGACTAGAAGGATCACATTCTCAACCAGCAGATGATGCAAACGATTCAGCAACACAGTCTCCGCCTACGCAGATGATGGAGCGGCCAGGCGACCCTGCCTCCTCACCGTATAGGATTCCAGATTATGTGTTTGCTAGGAACAAATCAACAGCCCCATTGGAATGGAGCACTGAATCCAATGAGTCCTTGTTCAGCATTCAGATGGGAAATACGAGTTTTACCAAAGACCAGTTTAACTGGTTGTGTAAATCTGGTGAATTGGGTTTACCTGAGGTAAATTACTTGCCTGGTAGTCCATGCAACATTGACTTCACAAGCAACCAGCCTCCGGCTAAGCAAACGGCGCAATCAGCGGAGAATGCTTCCAATAAGTTAAGCACGGTGGTGGAGGAGCCGAGTCTGAGGGTAACAGAAGAGAAAGCTGCGGAAACCATGAGAGAAGTTCTAAGGGAAAATGCAGTGAATCATGAAAGAGAGAAGTCAACCACTGCCCGCGAGGGTGGCAAGTATCACTCGGCTCGCCTCTCTCATGCTTCGGATGGAAGTACAAGATCTTTTGCATTCCCAATGTAAGTTGCTGGCTTCCCATCTTAGCAAAATTTAAGGTTAAAACATGTTTTTGATCAATGTAGTGTTCACAAAAGTTACACTTGCCACTGCAGTTTCAGTTGCGTCGAATCAGGTCCTTGTAGTTTGCAAACTGTGACGTTTGTCAACTTACGTTGATTTCTTGTGTCGCGTATGTGACGGATTGGGACAAGAAATTAACGAAAGTTGATGAGCGTCCTCGTGTTGGAACAAGTTGCAAACTACATGGACCAAACGACGCAGTCCACAATACCGGGACAATGTAGAACGTTGTCAAAGCTACAAGGACTGAAATCGTGTTTCAGACAATGGCGGAAATAGCCTTAAGTGCGCCGTTCGAACAATCTCACCAGAACAAAACCCTACTTGCAACTACGTACTTTTGCACGTTTGCATGTTTGAGCAAACATCTGAACCTTGTTTTTGTTCCATGAAGATTGTTAGGGGACATAAATGTTTCGCTACGGGGAGAAGGAACGAGACACAAGCACCAATCGGGGTCAAAGCGAACGTCGCAGCGAGAATCGCAGCCGCAAATGCCGGAAGAAACACCGAATGCGTCGTCTCCGCCCTCAAAACCAACCCCAATTGTACCCAAGTGCGGCTGGGGGCTGTCTTGCTTCTCTTGTTGCCCATCATGCTGTACTTAGAAAAAGTTCTGAACATTTTCTCTCCTTGGAGTTGTATGTGAGGTTAATATGTTTTTTTTTTCTTTTCATAATTTATATTAGATTAATTAAATTAATTATTTAGCTATTTCCAATAGGGAATGTAAATATTTGATCCATGGTAATGCAAGGCGTCGCCATTTTCCATTTTGTTGTGTTCTTTTATTGTAATTATTAGGAGGAACGGAACGGAGTTGGGGAGTTCGAAACTATTACAACAATTTAGGAGATAAGGATTTTTGAACTCGTGACGCAAGGATAAAAACTCAACACTCTACTTACTAGCATATTGGAATTGGACCACATGTTCATAACATCAGTGTTTAAAATATTGATATAGGACTAGTTGTTTTCGACGGAAATTTTGATTGAGTATATCAACTTATTTAGATTTAATCAAAATTAGAGCAAAATTTCTCAAAAAAAATCAAAAGTTTGAAATTTGTGTACTGGAAAAATTTATGTAGTTAATTGGTCAATATCATCGATATTTATTGAATTTTTTATTTGTATTTCTCCTCATTTCCATATCGACCCTTGATTTTTTGAATATTCCGAAAAAATTCAGGGGACCACTTTCATTAACTTTCATTGCCAGAAATTAAAGTGAAAAATTATGTCAATTTTAAAGACCATTTTAACTAAAACGTGAAACTCGAATAATGTTGTGGATCCAGTTGTTTACAAGGCCCGCAGTTTTATAGTCCAACTCCAATCCAAAGCCGTTAGCCCAAAAACAATGGGAGGATAAAATGGTAAAAGAACGAAACGAAATCGAACGCGCGAGGGCGCCAGGTCAACAAAAGTCAAACCAAAAAACCCACCAAAGCTAAATTTCGCGCCAAAAAAAGTGGAAAAAAGATTTTAAAAAATCACAAAAATCTCCCGCCGAAATAAAAACCCCTTAAAAACTCACAACGCACACAGAGACTTTCATATCGTATATCTCCACCTCCATCATTTCTAGAGAGAGAAACAAGAGAGAGAGAGAGAGAGAGAATGGCGAAGTTAATGCCGACCCCAGATGCGATTTCGACCGTCTTGGCGAACAAGTCGCCGGACGAGTCGGTTGAGCTGCCGGAGATAGTGGTCCAGGTCTCCGATCTCACCCCTAGGGGAAAATCTTACATGTGAGCTTTGCTTTCTCTGTTTGTTCTTCTCTTTTCTCGCTTTCTTTTCTTTGTGGGGTTTTATTTAGAGTTTTCAAGAAACCCTTTTTAGATCTAGATCTGGTTGCTGTCTTCAATTTTTTTGGAATTTAGGTTTTGGGTTTTGTAAAATGATTATTGGTTAGTTTGGAATGTGGAAATTTCGCGTGTGATCGAGCTTTTGTGTTTGTAATATGGTGTTCTAGGTTTATTGCTACTGATGGAAATGCGAAGCTAAAGGGGATGCTTTCCTCGCGGCTGGGTCCCCAGGTCACATCTGGGGAGATTCAGAATCTGGGTCTCATTCGCGTTCTCGGTTATTCTGTTAATTTCAATTCAAACTTATCCGAAAAGTAAGCTTTTCACTTTGATTCCCTATCTCTCTCCGTCGGTTGAAATATTGTGAAGGAAGTGTTGATGTTTTTGTTTTGCTGTTTTCAGTTATCTGCTTGTAACAAAATGTGATGTGGTTTCGGCTGCACTTGAGGCGGAGGTGAAAAATGAGGTGAAAAAGGAAGATGTTGGGATTATTTTGAAGCCCAAGCAAGAAATGGTTTCGAAATCTGCTGCTCAAATTGTGAATGAGCAGGCTGGGAAGTAAGTGGTTTTGTTTTGCTGCCAATCAGCTGTGACTGTGTAATTGAATTTATGAGTGTGTGTTGATAGTTTGATTTTGTATGAATTGATTTCAGTATGGCTCCGTCTGCGAGAATGGCTATGACACGAAGGGTTCACCCGCTTGTTTCCTTGAACCCTTACCAAGGAAATTGGACCATAAAGGTTCGTGTTACAAACAAGGGTACGATGCGTACATACAAGAATGCTAGAGGTGAAGGTTGCGTCTTCAATGTGGAGTTAACAGATGAAGATGTAAGCCGAAGACACTTTGTTTTGTTGGCATTCTTCCAGTTTCCCAATTCTAATTGCTTAATGTAGACGGTGTGGTGGTTCTTATGTAATGTAAATTTGTTTGTGTTTGTTTAGGGAACACAAATTCAAGCAACAATGTTTAATGAAGCTGCAAAGAAGTTCTTTGAAAAGTTTGAGTTAGGAAAGGTTTATTACATTTCAAAGGGGTCTCTGCGGGTTGCTAACAAGCAGTTTAAGACAGTGCAAAATGATTATGAAATGACATTAAATGAGTATTCTGAGGTGGAAGAAGCTAGCAATGAAGCGGCCTTTGTTCCCGAAACAAAATTCAATTTTGTTCCAGTTGATATGTTGGGTCCCCATGTTAATGGAAAGGAGCTTGTGGGTAAGCAACCCACTCCCAGAATCTGTTTTCGATGTGTGTTGTCTGTTTTCTCAATTACTCATATCTGATTTATTTCCCAGATGTTATTGGAGTTGTTCAAAATGTGTCTCCTACAATGAGCATTAGAAGGAAGATCGACAATGAGAGTATTCCAAAGCGTGATATCACCATTGCTGATGATACGTAAGCTTACAACACTTGTCGAGTAACTGACTACACTTTTCCATATGTTAATGCTGTGTATTGAAACAATTTGTATTTGAACTGCAGGAAGAAGACAGTTGTGGTTGCTTTGTGGGGTGAGCTTGCAACTAGTGTAGGCCAGCAATTGCTTGACATCGCTGATCAATCTCCCATAGTCGCTATCAAGTCCCTCAAAGTTGGAGACTTCCAAGGTAGCCTAAAAGTTCATACAATAACATCGCGAGGAATTTATGCATTCTTGAAAAATAAACAACTATCAAAGTTCCTGTTATTGATGTACTCTTTTATATATTGTTGCAGGTGTATCATTGTCAACACTGAGCAAGAGCACAATATTGGTAAATCCAGAATCACCTGAGGCAAAGAAGTTGCGGTCCTGGTAAGTTATTCTTCATCAGGATTTTACCGTAACTTTATCTCCATATGATTAAGTTTTCTCATAGCTGAATAATGGTAAAATTGACTTAATTGGCAGGTATGATTCTGAAGGTAAAGGTGCTTCATTGGCCTCTGTTGGCTCTGGTATGAGTCCATCAGCCAAGAGTGGAGGAAGGTCCATGTACTCTGACAAAGTCACCCTGTCTCATATATCTGAGGACCCGTCCTTGGGTGAGGATAAGGTATATTTACAATATCCACCGCTCTTAATTGCATAAGAATCTTCAGTTAAGTAAATTTTGCAGTCTCAAAACTAATTAGTGTATTGTGATTGAACTGAATATTTTGTTTTGGTCATATGCAGCCTGTGTTTTTCAGTGTTAAAGCGTTCATAAGTTCAATCAGGCCTGATCAGGCAATGTGGTACCGCGCTTGCAAAACTTGCAACAAGAAGGTGACTGAAGCTATTGGTTCTGGATACTGGTGTGAAGGGTGCCAGAAAAATGATGAAGAATGCAGTTTAAGGTAAATTACAGTTCAATATTTCATCATAAGGATGCTATTGGTGTTTGAATACAGATTCCCAACTTCTCACATATCCATTTTGTTCTCTTTCCAGGTATATATCAGTTGCAAGAGTTACTGATGTAAGTGGGGAAACATATCTTTCTCTATTCAACGACGAAGCTGAGAGGGTCATCGGGTGCTCTGCAGATGAACTGGACAAATTGAAATCACAGGTATATGTTTACAATTCACTTCAAAGTGCTTATTACACATGATTAACAAAACCATGAAAAATTAGCAGCTGGTTTCTAGTTTTTGAATCCTTTACATTTTGTTTCAGGACGGAGACGAGAATGAATTCCAACAAAAACTGAAAGAAGCAACTTGGGTTCCTCATCTTTTTAGGGTCAGTGTTACTCTGAATGAGTACAATAACGAGAAGCGGAAGAGGATAACTGCCAGGGCAGTCGCTCCGGTTGATTTTGCTGCTGAATCGAGGTTTTTGCTTGAAGAGATATCGAAGATGAAGGCCTCATAAGTTAATGGTGTAGAAGGATGGTGAAGAATGAAAATGGTGTCTAGGCAGATGCAACTTTAATCTCTCTGATTTAGGGTTCTGTATGTTTGGGGAAGGGCAGTTGGGATTAATTGCAGATGTTGGTTCTAAATGCCATGAGAAATGCCTGATAGTGTTGATCTAGTTGTATAAATGCACTTCTTTTATAATGCTTTATTCCTTTGTGTGATTCACATTTTTCTATGGATGCTGATAATTTGACTGAATGATTTACTGATGGCAATTTAACCCGTCAAGTCTGATCTTCGCAAGTGATTGATTCGAATGGTTTGATTTTGGGCATAAAATTTTGGGTACTTTACAGTTATGGGTAATCGTCGGATAAATTTTTTGATTTCGGGTTTGGTTATGGTTATTAGGGTATCTACCCCAAATCCCTATTTGAAAGTTGAAACCGAACCATTTCATCTTGAATACAAAAATATAAGTATTTATTATATGAAAAAGGGTTATTAATAATCATGCATTATTAAATATGAAATTAATTATTTACTTTTATATCATTAATAATAGGAAATATATGCTTATAATTTTCAAGAGTGTAAATATTTTCTTAGTAATATAAATAAATATATAAATATCATAACGGAAAAAACCGTTCCCCGATCAAAAATCCATCAAACAAAAAATATGATTTACTGATAAAATACAAATTCAAATCCAGATTAACAAAACGATGTAAAGAACTGCAATCGAGGAACCTAATCATAAAGCTCTGGTTGTAAAGAACTGCAATCGAGGAGTGATGGCTTACCTTTCGGAATATGGACAAGGGCAAAGGGAGAAGAAGGGGAAGAAGGATTTTAAAATCCTAGGGGGTGAGGTTGGATTTCTTTTAGTCTTAGTTATATATATCTTTTACTCTCAAATCCCACAAAATCCACAACTTATAGAAATCTTCCAAAATCTTAATTTTTTTAACACTTAGATTTGAATGGATTTTAAAATCCTTTAAAATATTTTAATTGACTACACTAGGATTTTAAAATCTTTTAAAATCCTCTCAAATCCGAGTTTGACTACACCCCCTAAATTTTTAATATTACTTATTAAATGCATTGTATCAATTGTATTAATAATACCAATTTATTTAATATCTTTTTTATAATATTCTTCATTTAGTTAATAATATAAATAAATATATAAATATCATAATGGAATAAACCGTTCCCTGATAAAAAATCCATCACCCGACGGGTTCGGTTATGGGGAAAACCCGGATTTTACGGGTTCAAGTTTGGGGAAAATAAATGGGTTCGGGTATGGAGATAGCACATCCGAACCCAATCCGTTTCGTTACAAGCAATAATCCTACTCTAAACTAGACTAGAAGGGTGGGTTTGAACCGGGGATGGGACACAATAGGTTGAAGATGAAGATTTTATCCGCCACTTGTGAAAGACTCGGAAGGTTCTCACGAAAGCACCTCTAAGCAGTGAATCTTGCATATCACCAATAACGGTTTTTCTCACGAGTGCAAGTTGGATTGAAAATTATAAGTTTCACTCGAAAATGGTTCAAAAAGTTTCAACATTTGCACACCCAAATCAAATCCGGAGTTAGAAATTCTAAAATTTGATGATTCGAACAATTACGATTGAACTTGAACGCGTATGGAAAGTTTCAAGATTCCGAATCGTGATCCAAATATGTGCAGAACTCATTTCGATTCGAAAAATTTCTTGCTTTTAACAAATTGGTTCTTCGTAGTTTAGTGTTTGGACGAATGGTGTAGATTACTGAGTTAAAACATGCCTATCCACACGTTAACATCACCAAAGTATCAAGCCAATAATGTCATGTGGCTTTTTGCATATATTGTAAACAGAGCTTCTCATCGCCTGTTTTTATCTTTTCCTCAACTGTTCTTGGCATATCGAAATGGCTTTTTAGCCAAAATGGTTCATGAGATTTGAAATCGATAGAATTGGTCCCTGAGTTTGTCACTATAAATCATTTTGGTCATTTTCTGAAATAACTCCATTGAATAAGGATAAAATGACAAAAATACCCTTAAAATTTGTCAAATTGTTTATTAAATTGAGGATATTTTTGTCATTTTGATCCTTATTTAACATAATTTTTCATCAAAGGACCAAAATTATTAATGGTGAACAATCTCAGGAACCACTTCAAGACCAAAAAGTGAGGAGTTGTGCAAATCTTAAGGACCACTTTAGCTAAAAAGACTATAAAAAATGAGGTGAGCACGAAAAACCGAAGCTTGTGCAGATCATTTTGGATCAACGCTGAAATTTAAAGACGAAATATCCAAGAATTCCACTAAATTGCTTTAACCTGGCATGAAGGTAGACTAATGGCAAGATACTAAACCGAGAAATGAACTTCTCTAAACGAATTTTACAGGTTGTGGTCTGCAGAAATTGCACTTAGATAGGTTAACAAGATAAAATGATACCTAAAATGTACTATCGATCTCACGCCTTCTTATAGGGAGAGACCATTGACGCTATTTGGTGCAGTAAACTTGATGCATTCTTGTCATCACTTTCATTGAAGGAGGTCCACTCTTGAAAGTTATGCAGGCTTCCTGTGAAGTCTGTAAAAAGTCCATCGACACCTATCTCGTTAATCCAGTAATTGTACTCCGCGTATGGATCTTGATGAAAGTCCAAGTGCAGGAATGAGTTCTCGTTTCTGTACGTGTAGGGGTGCACCTGCATTGGGATTGAAGGAGATGTAAGAACACGATTTACAGGAATTACGTCCATGCATCTGAAGCATTCATATTTCAGAAGATAAATCGCAGGAAACCAGGTTGACGAGAAAAGGAAAAGTTCTTCAGCATCCCATAGTAAATAGTGGAAACAAATTTTTATGCTGCTGATGGATTTTAGAAAGAAAATTATCAACTCGTTCTCTACTCAAGTCATCAATCCGATCAATACATTTGTCAAAAGCAACACCTGAGCTACGCAATGTTTGTTTTTGCCTAATCTAAGAGATGCCTTGAATCATACCATCTGCATTATTATACGCGTCCTAGGGTTCCATGTGATACCAGAGCATACAACAATTCCTAACGAGCTGTCGTGCTTGAACAACTAAAAATTGGTTTCTCTTATGGTTATCCGTTAACCACACCTCTCAGTAACACATTACAAAATTAGATCACAAAGAAACGTCTTGCTCTATTTTGGTCATTCAACCTTTCGTGAGTAGTCCGTCATAGCAGATGCAATCAACACATTACTATACTAATGCAGGACAAAAATGCTATGTCAAAGAAAAAAGACTCATGACCATGACTAGAATTTTTTCATAACGCCGTTACTCCAAACGAAACAGATAAGTCTTTACAGAGAAGAAATCTACCTGTAGGTCATGTGCGTGGGCTCTGGAGACCAAATCGGTAGGTGTTTGCAAATAATTATTTACTACAGGAACTATAGTATCCTTCCACGGTCCAATGCCCACCACATAATCTTTAATGTAGTCAAGGTAAGGATCCGAAGTAATTTCCCAATAGGACTGCACATCATAGATTTGAGGTCAGTTAGTGAGGAATTTAAATACTGAAAAGTCAAAGGAAGAACTATATTGCGTAAGTAGTCCACGGGGAGATAAAACAATAGAAAGAACACACACCTGATTAGTGTCTTGGGTTGGAACAGTAACATCGTCAATTAAGAATATCTTGGGCAAGTCTGTCAGATTTGATACGTATACAAGTGAAGTTGGAGCAAATGACTGGATAAATGCAGGTTGTTTCAACCAATCTTTTGATAGGTATGAACCCTTGTATCCGTACTTCTTAAGTGTCTCCACAAATCTGTCCTCGAACCTCTTACCATCTGCCCACTTCACCTGTCATAAATTAAAACATCAGGCAAGTGTCGTGCAAAAGAGAAAAGATATCTATCAGAATGCTAATCATGTTCTGTGAAACCATTATTTGTATCAGCTTTCAGGATACTTACATGTTGGTTGATCAATACTGGGTTTTTAATCTCCGGATATATTCCAACAACTCTGGGTGAATCCAGTGCGATTGAAATGAACTCTTCAAAAGTAATAATAGGATATTTTCCTGACGAATGCATCAGAAAATGATATCTCAACCATCCTTTATATTTGCATCCATATAAATGAATATCTTATAATCGGAAATAGAACATATGTTTTTTAATGCAAAAAAAATTATGAAAGTGTAGCAATATTACATATAGCACGTTCTACACAACGACGCAGGGAACTAGCACCATGATTCAAGTGGCGAGATGACTCATAGGAAAGCTTAAGCAGATGGTCTAACTAAATGCCCAATCAAGCTCAAAACATAAACTAACAATATCGCACTTGCACGATTTTAAAGCCACAAGATAAAGCTATTCGTGGTTAGAAATCTGATGCTGAAATAAGGTCTCTATCATCAAATAGTCGGCAACAGCAAGTAATAAAAGATGCATGCTAAAATTCAGAGTTATTTACCAGAGATAGTTACTCACCATTATATTGCTGATCCCGAAATGGGTATCTCTGCTTCACTCGTAATTTCTTCAGTTCTTTTGTTGTAAAATCAACTGCATACCGTTAAAGCAACTTTTAACTTTGCAGTTGGCAATAAATACATCACAAAAAGAAAGATACGGGTATCAGATTTTGGAAATAGTGGTAAGCTAACAAAACTTATCAGTTGGGTGCTCAAGTATGGTCAATCGTCAGTTAAAAAGAGGGATGTACAAAAAAACCCATCGACACAATGCGATCAATCAGTTAGACTAACGATTTAGAAAGTGTTGCACGCAGAGGGGCTTCACACACCAGTAAAAAAACCAGTAGTGTTGACCCCTTGAACTTCATAGGTTCTTTTACGATCTGCAAATTCCTTGTGTTCGGCAACATCAGTTGTGTCATCAAGGGTCACATCATGAAAGCATATAAGCACACCATCTTTAGAAGATAGGATATCCGTTTCAATGAAGTCTGCACCCTCTTTAATAGCTCTCTGCAAAAATGAATGTATTAGTACTCATATACGGAGAACAGCTTTTCATCAAGTGAATGAAGTATTACCATGTATGCAGCAGCAGTTTCTTCGGGAATTTCTCCATTTGAACCTCGATGAGCAATGTTGTATGGACGATAAGTTTGTAGAGGCTGTCTATTGGTAGGATCACCTGCTTTACTAGGAAGTGGATAGAATGGCCTTCCAGAACACCCAACAAGGAGCAGTAGGAACACAAAAGGAGCAAAGCCTGTCAAATGCAAAAACACCAAAATCAATATAAATTCTCACAGTATTTTTATTTTTCATGATTTGGAGAATAAACATATACGGAGTCTTAACACTATACATACATACAAACCGAAATCAATATTTTGCCATTAGCCATAGAAACTACTCGGTGCCTTGCCACATTTAGAAACCAATAGCCTCATTCAACTAAAAACGCCTACTTATAAATAGCATTCACAAAACAACCTGGCATTATACCTACATCATAATTTTGCTAAATTAGGAAACACTCGAGGCAAATTTCCAACTAAAATTCGAACTCCCCGACATGCAAAGGTAGAAAATATCCTCTAAAACCACCAAATTAAATTCAAACAAATCAAAAGCAAGCTTCAAACGAATCAAACAGGCCCAATTAAGCAATTGCCAGGAGCAAACAAGACAGAAGAGAAAACCAATATCAGAAGCATATCAGCCACCACCAAAAAAATAAAGAATCAAACTTTTTTACAAAATTAACAAGACCCAGTAATCATTCACATAAAACCATTGAAAAACTCACACGATCAACAATTAAAACTCTAAAAGAAGAGCAAAGATTCAATCTTTGGAGCCAAGTTTGCAGCTTAATTCTACAAAACTGAAGAGAAAAAATAAAACCCAGTAATCATTTACACAAAAATATTGCAAAACTCACACGATCAACAATTAAAACTCCCAAAAAGAGCAAAAAATCATTCTTTGGTGCCAAGTTTGCATTTAATTCCAACAAAATTGAAAAAAAAAAGAAAAAGAAAAACCAGTAATCATACACTTACAGACATTGAAAAACTCACACCATCACCAGAAAAAAAAGATACTAAAATTGGAAGCAAAAATTTAATCGTTGGAGCAAAGTTAGCAGCTTACAGTGGGAGGAAGCCATGGCGTTTTCCAAGCTTCTCTCTACCTACTGCGTTTCCTGGGCTTCTTGAAGAACTCGGCGAGCCTTTTTCTAAGGTGGTCGAATCGTATGCGGCCGAGAGTTTTATAACAACGAGGGCTCGGAGAACTCGGCGCCATGGATCTAGTTGTAAACCAAGAATATTCCCTCCAATAGATGGGATTTCACCGGGAAACTGATTTGGACGTGACAGATGGGATGACACCGGACGGATGAAACTGCAATACTGGCCGTTTGATGACGTGTTGGATGGGAGATCTGACACGTGGAGGGTGGGATTGGGGAGTTTGTTAAGTAGTTTGGATGATTGCATTGCCGTGGGATTCTAATTTCTGAACTCAGCGGCCAGTTGGCGTTGACCGAATGGTGATTTGTCGTGTGCGGCTTGGTATATATACTTAAATTTGTACATTAACCATGTGAGACGGAGAAGGATTTACCGGCACGAAGACGGTAAGATGACGGTGTTTCAAATCTATCATTTTTTAATTTTTTATTTTGACTTTTCGATATGAAGTGTATGATTGTTTTGTTACATCAGTATGTTAGACCAGAATGACTTGCCTAATTCTATAATGTTAGGGAAATTTTATTTAAACCCATTTATCATCTTTCTACACCCAACTTATTATTTTTTATTTTGAAATTCCAAATATGCCTAATAATTCTCTTTCTACACCCAACAAGCACAAAAAGAAAATAATAATAATTTAGCAATAGGGAACTCTAGCCATCCTATCTCTTCAAACCTTAACCACCCAGTTTCAAACCTCCCCAACTCCCCACTACCACCTCCCTTACCATGCACAACAATTTGGAAATTAGAACATTATTCCCAACAACCCACGATTGAAAAACCCAAAAGAAACATGTCAATATATATATATATATATATATATATATTTGGAAAAATTAATAGTATTATTAACATATGGTCCAACACAATTAAATTCGACATGTCGACAATTTTGACATAATTCGGACATGTTAGAAGGACTGCATGGAAGAGAGAGTTATTGTGTGGCCGTCGAAAGGTTGGGAAAGGGACATTGATGGCTGAGATCTTTGAGGGTTTCATTGTGGGTGATAAGAAGATGGGGAGGGGTAGAAATTGGGGGTGGTTAAGGTTTGGAGTGATGGCATGGCCCAGATTTTCTAGTGTTGAAATTTTGTATTTTATATTTTTGTTCTTTTTCATTATGGGTGTAGAAAGGAAATTGTTGGGCAGATTCGGAATTTCAAGATTAAAAATTATAAGTTGGGTTTAGAAAAGAGAAATGGGATTGAATAAAATTTCCCATAATGTTATTATCGCGTTAGTAACTATGTGATATCTATATGACAAAGTTAACACATACGTTAAATCATAAACGAGTGGTAAATTTGGAATACCATCCTATTTCACGCAAGAACTCTTGTTTGAGATGGGTGATTCTCATATTTTGACATTATTATTTGATGTGATTAGTGTGTTTATTTATTCATTAATCTTATGTTCTACGTTCCTAATATAAAGAAATGATGAAGAGATCCACGAAATTAAAAACTCAATCAAGAAGAAACAAAACCATGAGATTTTGTTTAAAGGAGTTTAAATGAAAGAAATCTGAAGGAAATGAGAGCCATAAAAAATAAAAAATAAAGAGAGTCCAACTATAAAAAGGAAAGTCCTCGATCAAGACATCTTCGGATTAATATCAAAACCAACAAGTTACAAGGTAATCACAAGTCTTCTTGATATCTATGGGTTTGATGTACACCATAACCAAGACATGATGAACTTTGGATGCCATCGGGTTACAAGGATAAAATACGTCTCCTGAGCAATCGGTTCGATGATAGTCGAATCCAAGACCTGCTAAACTTCCGACGTAATGTAAAGCCAACAAGTTATACGGCTGCGAGACACTTGCTTGGTATCCATCAATTTGATGCCAGATGAACCCAAAGACCTGCTAAACTTTGAAGGTAACACAAAACTAACAAGTTATGAGGAAATTGAAAGTTTGCTTGATGTGCTTTTGTCCAAATACAAAAGCTTTAGCATCCACAGTTGCATAAAGGACTATATATATGATAATATAGTGTAAACATCGTCATAAAATGAGAGCTAGTTGCTCAAATGAGGGTGTTTATGTTAGAATGAATTGAGATCTGATTATTTTTTATTTAATGGATTCGAAGAGAGATGAATGAACACACACACACAGAGAATGGAAAGTGGTTGCTTCACTCTGTAAGTCACAGAAGAGTGATTGGATTTTTCATTAGATTTCTTTCACACACCTCTCACACACAAGTTGTGTGAGGAGGGAATATTACTGTTCGAGAGAATGTTGGATCCTTCTCTCTCTAAGCTTAGATCACAGCCACTCATCTAACTAATAACAAGAATCAAAACCCACATGACACTCATGGCCTTTACATATCAGAATTTTACCCTTGGCATTCTTTGCGAATACACCATTTAAAACATAAAACTTATTATAATACTATCAGTTCACAACTTATAATTCAACAGTTTATCTTTTAATTACCGGAAACTTTAACCCTCTTCGAAGGGCTGATATGTGTGTTCTTTTTCTTTTTTGATAAACGGGCTGATATGTTTTGTATTGGCCACTGGCACCCTTTGGGAGGACAAAGTATCAACGTATTCTGCTCTTGCATGCATGGAATTAAACTGCAGGTGTTTCAATCGGAAACGATCAAGTTGTCTCCAATGTTATTGGTCCTGTTGCTAGTTGCTACACTACTGTGTAAAAATTATGCAGAAGCAGTTTTTACTTTTACGTAGAACGAGTACTTTTTAGAATACTTGGAATTGACTTTCCAAAAACAAATTAATATATGTTGTGGAAAGGCAGAATGATGCATCATGTATGCTGCTTTTGTTAAGAGAAATCATGAGATAGCTAAGACAAGCCTGCCACAAACTATTTCTAGTCACAAGGACGAAGGACGGTCATGAACCATTTCATGTGGAAAGATCACTCACTTAGACGTTACACCTAACCATGGAGATGAAAATTTTGATTGTTCGTGGGCAAACATAATCTGCTCCTATATTAGGCTCATATGCGCCGATTCTCTTATTTTGTCAATGCGTTGTCAGGTATAGACTTCTTTTTAATATTTGTCGATACGCAATCAATTAGTTTTCTTTTCTCCGTTGATAAATTGTCGAATACAATTTCTTTTCTAATTTTGTCGGCATGTGAATGTTTATTAGATTCGATACTTGCGTTCACCATTCATCGCCATCTTTAACATCGTTGACGAAACAAAGGAACCTAGATCATCTTTCCTCGTTGACGCCGCAAATTCTCCTGTCGTTGCTTCCCCACATGTTTTGTCATATTGTTACACATTTCATGACCAAAATCGAATGTACCAACCACCGAATTGTATTAATTATACCAGCCGGTGAATCACATGATGGTAGTCAGGAAGATGTTGAAATTTCTCTATGAGTTTTGCTAACCCCTGAAAATATGGACGGTTATGACCAAAGCACCAACTGGTCCCCTTTTATAAGCAAAAAAATTAAAATTAAAATTGTATCAATTACCCTAATGACCGAATCATATCAATTATCCTAACTAGCAAACTGTATCAATTACTCTAACGACGAATCCGAGATCAAAGAAATCGAAATCAGCAGTATAAGATCAAACAATCACAAATCAAGCAAACCATTAAAACGGTAAATTAAAAAAAAAAAAAAAAAACATAGACAAATAATTAGCTTGATATGCTGCTTACCCTTTGGAGCTAGAGACAGTGATATATCGCTCCGCTTTTAACTGATAGAGTACGGGATGCCCAGGCGCTGCCTGAATGGTTGGGATCAGGATCCTCTCCTGAGCTAAGGATGAGGATTCTCTTGACCAAGGAGTGTGGGCCGTTGGATGAAAATCCAACGGCTACAAACAGGAGGTCCCTTTAAAATTATAATAATTATAGTCATTCGATTTTCATCCAACGGCCCACACTCCTTGATTAGGAGGATCCTCATCCTTAGCTCAGGAGAGGATGCTGATCCGAACGGTTGAACTTGAACCACAAGTTACACTCCTGGCTTTGAGTTTCGGTAGCATTGCTGCCGGAGTACTTTTAGTCTCCAAAAAGTGTTTAATCTCAGCTGTGGTTTAAAAAACAGAATGAAGGGTCGCATTTTTCCTACCCCAGAATGAGTGTTAGGCCAGCACTAGTGCACTTAATTGATTTCAAAATTAGAAAAACTTAACTACAAGTTCAAAATTGGGTTAAGAAACAAACAAATATGTGAATGAGGAGGGGCCATTTGGGACTACTTGAATGGTTAAAAGTGTGTAAAAATTAAAATTGCTTATGACTATGTTTGACATAAAAATTTAAAAGCACTTGGATTTCATGTTAAGTTATACGTGATTATAATAAAAGCGCTTCTTCTTATGAGTATAAGTGGTTTCTAGATAAGAAATCCCAAACATGACACTAAGGGTATGTTAGGAATGTCGGTACTACAAGATAGAGAATGCACAAGGTAAAGTAGAAAATGGACACCAAGAATTTATGTGGTTCGGCAATTTATGCCTACGTCCACCAAACAAGGATCAATCTTCACTATATGAAAAAGATGAATACAACAAGAGTAGTCTTACCAAGCCAAAGACAAGGCTTGATGGATACAAGAAAGTATAACACACACTTTCTATCACTCTAAACTTCACTCACACAATGTGTAGTGGAACACTCTCACTCTCACTTGGAGTGGAACTCTAGCTTTGGACTTGATCCTTTGCTACTCACTCTTGGTTCTCAATTGGTTACATCACACCCATATTTATAGGTGAGGGCTTGGCATTCTACTAGTTTCTAGTTCCTTCTTCAAACCTCTAGTATAGAAAAATCTAGACTAGCCACATACTTGTAGCTTCTAGATCTTTCCATTTGCAACCAAGGAAGCTAGTACTCTCTAGCTTCTTCCATCAACTTAATAACATGCTAGAATTGTCTAGCAAGCTCCAGCCTCATCTCTTGCTTACTAGAATAATCTAGAACGTTGATCATGGGCTGGACCATATACCAACAATCTCCTCCTCCAGTCCATGAGGGAGGAATTCCGATCATGACTCCA